TCGACGGCATCTTTGAAGTTTGTCCGTCCGCGACCAAATTTTGTCCTTTGGGGAACAAACCGGTCGCACTTGGTTTTTCATTGTGATGACGGATTTTTGTCATAAGTAAACAGTTTTGTCCTCTAGTGCGACTTGGCCCTAATGTCCCTTTTTGCTTTTTTTGTAATCCGGCAAATTGTCCGAATGCACACTCACCACCCAGTGCGTGTGTTTATTTGCCGGCAGTAAGAGGCGGGAACTGTCACACCGGTCATCGTAACCGTCGCCGGTTAAAAAAGGCAAATCTGTATGAAACTTAGAATTGTTTTTTCTAAAAATAGCTAGCTCCTTTGGACCGAGTTCAATCTGCCCAAGCCTCTAATCACTTGCATTCCTCGATTCTGGCTTTCATTGACATTAAACTTTCGTTTAAACGCCTACTTTATTTACTTTTGACGGGAAGCTGTTTTCTAATATTTCGGTTGCACTCAGTTTGAACCCGCTTAACCAACAGCATCACTGGAGACGATCGTTTATTCTGAGAGACTGTAGTATTAGCAGTACATAACGAAAGATCTGACGATATAAAATTTTCATACTTTTCGTAATGACCAGCTGCTAGCATTAAAGATCTGCTAAGATTATGGCTAACTACTAAGGCCAACATTTTCCTGCGGGTTTGCTTCTAAACTCCCTTAGTCGCTTTGTGGTCGCTAGCTGAAACTACTTTTCTAGGCCTGCGCCTTTTTTCTAAAAAATACGCACCCTTGCCGCTGATAGGCAACTCACCTTAGTTGACAAAAATTTGGGCTTTTCTTTGGTTCACGGCCGTCTTTTCACTTAATTCAGTTTCCCTTAAGCTGCCGGCGCACCAGTGCAACCTCACCGGCTGATTAATGACAAACTTCTCTACCGTCAATGCAGTGTGTAACTTGCGATATTTCACTCTAAGTATATCTTTTCAAGTTACAGTGCTACCATCAAAGGGAACGAAAACACCGCACACCGACCTGAGAACTTATCTTATCAACACCAAGTTTTAGTTGTCATCCAAATGCGAGAGGCGTTGAATAGCAAACGTTTGTTTAAGGCCTGTCAATTAAAAAAATTGCCGACAGGTGTCAGTTTAAAATAAAAGTGAGTCTTATCTTTTTTAATATTCTGTTCTTTCTATGATGGCTACTAGTTAATAAGCCATGTTCTTGCATTGTCTCGGAGAAAACCGTCAACGCTGAAAGCACCTGTAATTATATTTTACTGCTGAAGAAAACCTGCAATCTGTCCAAACTCCGAAAATGAAGACATTCGAAACAAATTCAGTACAAATTAACTTTATGCATCGAAGTAAACTGAGAAACAAGAAAAAAACATCTGTAGCTATTTGAATAAGAAAAAGGTATAACAGTCCAACATCTTTTTTATAAAACAGGGCAATACGTACACTGCACAAAAAAAAAATTATCTAACATTCGTGAGTCCTAAAAGTTCAACCAAGACACACATATATAATGGAGGTTCTGGGACAACAGTTATTTTTTAGAATCTCGGCTCTGAGAGTGATGAAAATAAAATTTTAATTTCACTACTCTGAGAGCCGAGATTCGAGAAAATTACGAGTGCTCCAGAACCCACCGTTATATATGCGTGTGGGCTTAGAATTTCGGCTCAGAAGCAAGGTTCGCAGCATGAGCGTGGATATGTAAATTCGAGGTTGTTTAGCCAAGCTGTCATATCCGTGACTGCGCGCAGTAAGATGTTTTTAACCCCACTTCAGTGACGTCAATGAGGGAAATCCCCCTCTCTTTCCTGCAGCCGTGACTTTTGATCAGCTGTCTCGTTTTTCGCTTCAGAAAACATCTTTTGTTTCTACCGCGTTGCGGGCCCGATTTTTCCTCGAAAAAAGACGAAAAGTGCTATTTTGTTGACCAGACTAAGAAGAAACTGTGTATTCTAACGAACTGTGGGGAAAAAAGAAAAATCCAGCTGCAAAATTCCTTTTCGATCCTAAATTCCAAATCGCGCTGAAAAAAACCCGAGGCCGTTTTTGTCTAGAAAAGGAATTTCAACTCTAGAAAAAGAACTTCGAGCACGTAAGAATGGGAATAGCTCGGGTGTTCTGGGACATTTTGTGAGAGCTTTAATTTTGCAAAATAAAGCTTAAAAGAGTGATTCATTTTTTGTGACAGCAAGTGCAAATTCGAGTTTGGTTAGCCGAGCATGTAGCACGTACCGCCACGAGGTTCCATCACATGTAAATAGGATGTTGTTTGCTACAAAGAACGACGCAATTAGCATTTTCAAAAGTTTTATTTAAAACAGTCAAACGATACAAAAGAATCAACGAAGTGACTGGTAAAAGATATTATTGTTCTCACCATCGGTTCCGTCTTCCACAGCTGCTTCTAGGTGCTGTATATCGATGCCAACAAGCTGTATTTCAGCCTCTTTTGTTTCCAGCGGCCTGGCTAACTCACGGAGTCTTCGGCGAATGTTATTTCCTTGCCAAAGCAATTTAGACTTGACAGAGTATTTTAGTGAATGGTTTGAA